CTATTGTCCAAACTAAAAAACCATGCACCAAATGAAGATTTTAAGGCTAGAAGAGACCATTGTGATCATCCAATCTCACCTTCTATGTAGGAGTGACCACAGGACTTCCTTGAATTAATTATTGCTTTCAGTCCAACAGTTCTGCTTAAGCTGTCTCTTTTAGAAAGAGATCCAAACTAGATTAACAGTTTTTAGTAATGGACCATCTGCCACAAACCTTGATAAGCTGCTCCAATGCTTAATTACGTTCAAGGCTAAACATTTTACTTACTTATTTTTTTAAATATTTTGGTTTTAATAATGCACTGTATTAGAAGTACCAGGTAAGAAGAATTGGGTTTTAAAAGTTCTTGTGACGAGATAACAATGAACAGATTTCATACTGTAAATACAAGAGAAAAGTTAATACACAGAAACCAAATCAAGTGTTTGGTTGATTTGAAATAAGGGGATCTTATATATTAAGGCGCCCAAGCCACAGTGGACATAGGCACAGGGATCTGCCCACATAATTGTCATTGCAGGATCTGAGCCTGGGGCCAATTGCGGCCCGTGTTCCGGTTTAATACGGCGCCACAGGTAATTTGGCAATATCTATCTTTTATGGCCCCCAATGAATCCATATGTATTGAGATGAATACATTGTAAAATCTCAGTTAATGTCAGTTGGTCTAAATCAGTTATAAATATATTTGGACACAACATGTATACTTGGTGTTATGTTCCTGTTCATATTTTTTGAACTTAAAAGTTGACAGACAACCTTTATTACCAATAATATGTAATGTACTTTACAATGTTCCTGACATATATTTCAGCTTCCTGGATTTTTTTTTTCATCTGGCCTTCAGATATGAAAGGCAGAATGATTTAACACCTGTTTAGATTTGTCATCCATGTGACGAAGTGAAAAATATGCCGTTTAAAATAAACTTTGTATAAAATAGTTAATTTGCATTTAATTTTAATGGTTCAAAGAATGTCAGGCAAAATGGTCAGCCCTCACGCTTGTTCACTTAATCAAATCTGGCCCTCTTTGAAAAAAGTTTGGGCACCCCTGACATAGGCGCAGGGATCTGCCCACATAATTGTCATTGCAGGATCTGAGCCTACGTTACTTAATCAAGTGCTTGCCCCCCTCCCCACCTTGTTGAAATTCTGATGGCTGAATATTTTGAGCACTATATTTACATGCCAACATTACAGTGTCCTTTAAAGATAAAGTCATGAATTCAAAGCCACCCCTAGGCAAACTTATCTTATCAGCAGAGCTGTTAATAGATGAAAACAGGTTCTCCTATGCCATTACACAGCCAATAAGGCAACCTTGCAAAATTCTACTCACTCAATTGCCTACGGCAAGCATTTACTTATTTAAGTCATTTAGGTTACCACTCAACCTGTCCACCCCCTTTACTGCAGGCCCAAGATGCTAAGTCTACACAAATTGATGATTAATATAACAATTAATACTACAACTAATGCTGACATAGCATGGCACATGGTATTTACAGTTATTGATCAAAGCTGAAATGGGGGGGGGGAATCATTATGAATCATGTTTTATCCTGTAATGCAGCATTTAGAAAACCTTCCCCTGTGTCTCTGCTCCAGAAGAGGATCTACAGCCCCCATCCTATGCAGAGCCTCACTGACGTGGGTGGGACTCTGCTTGGGTGCAATGGGGTCTAAGTGAATAAATCCAACAACGGAATTAGCACCTCAGGCAGGTCTGCCTCTCCCAGCTGCAGTCACCATTTCAGCCCAGTTTCACACTTGCACCTTTCAGCCAGGAATCTCAAAAGCCTTGTCTACAACCAAGAACTTCAGACAAGTCTCCCTCTATTACTCTAACACCAGCAAACCTCCAAATAGAAAGTGCTGAAGCATTAGAAAGCCATTAGCAGCTTTTCTGTTATTTCATGTAGACATGGTTTAAAATAGGTTAGATGAGTCAATAGTAAATGTCCCTATGGCTAATCTACACAAGTCTTCCCCTGTTGCTACTGCCACTGTAGTTGTACTTGTGATAAAACAACATGGAAAACATCCCTGAAAATCCTCAGCCCAGAGGCAACCACCATATTTTACAAAGCTGAGGAAACCTGCACTTAGGGGGAAAGCCATTTGGCAAAGGTTACATACTATAGGTCAGTGCTGAAGTCAGAAACCATGTGTCAGTCTTCACACTAATTCCCTGGTCTAGCCACTACGCTATTTACTCTAGTACCCCAAAAAAGTATGTGGAGGCTTAAGAGTTATGCCTGCGTACCCTCAAATGTCTTCTCTCAGGATCCAATATACTGGGATCACTGCTTCTCCACACATTTATACCTCTCTTCCAATTTCTGCACCTCACAAAGCTAACAGATACTGAAAGGCACTGGTGAATCATTTCAAGATTTACCACCATATTGCCAAGTGACAAAACCTGCCCTACTTTGGCAGCCTCTGACCACAGCTGTAACTGTAATCCATTTACAAATGCTATTGTAAAATAAAAGATTCAACAAGCTAAACAAATCCAGTTTAGAACAGAGGAAATGCAATGTAAAATGTTTGTGTACCCTTAGATCATCTTTCAATCTAGTCACAACTACTCACTCATTCCTATCCCTTTCCACCTCACAGTATTAACCTTAAGCATGGTCTTTATCAAAATATTCTCCCTCAATAGCAATCTCTCCTACTCTCCCCTCCCTTCCACCCCCCCAACGCGAAAAATCTAATCACAAATACACAAATCTGGGGGCGGGTGTAAAAGCATCTTGCCCTGGACATTTTTTTTCTGGGGGGGTGGGAAAGGGAGGGAGAAGAGGGCGAAAGTAAATAGCCCACGGGGTGGGAACATAAAGTATACTATCCCATCTTTAAACAGTCAGGAACAAACAAAAAAGAAAACGGCAGCAGAAGCCAGCTCTAGGAAGGGGAGGAGGGAAGAAGAGGCTGAACATTTTGGTGTCCTTTAGTTTCCGATTTACTCTTTCTGCCTTTGCAAGGTTACAGAAAGGCCATCAAGGAGGTGGGGAGACTGAATAGGGGTAGAAAATGCTGACCTGATCCTTCATTGCTGAAAAGAAAAGAAAGAATAAAAAGAGGCTGTGTTTGTGTGCAAGTATGGTCCCAAATATGGGAGAGTGTACCAAGAAAGAACAATGAGCTCCCATAGCTTGGGTATTGTGTGTGTGTGTGTGTGTGTGTGTGTGTGTGTGTGTGTATGTCTATCTCCCTGCTCTTCCCTCTAGACCTCACCAACTAAAAACAGATCTGCAAAGCTGCTACCAAAAAAAACACAACCAACCCCAGTTTGTAATTTATAGGGCAAATACAGGGAGTAAAGCCAAAGCATACAATATTTACCCACAGATTTTTTTTTTAAAAACACAAACTAATTTATAGGGCAAATACAGGGAGTAAAGCCAAAGCATACAATATTTACCCACAGATTTTTTTTTTTTTAAAACACAAATCCGTTTTCCCTTCCCTCCCCCACCCTTGCCTGACTCTGAAAGGAAGTTGTGTACACAAAACATAAAAATGTTTCTTGAAATATTAAAACTGAGAAAGCGCCAGTATATTACACAGTAAAATTAACATTTAGCTTGTCTGCATTTTACAACCAAGCACATTTCCTCCAACTGAGTAATCAAATTTTTTTTTAAATTAAAGGAACTGTATTATTGTATGTATCCTGTCATTTCAGATTTCTTTCAAAACAAAAGTGTTTTAGTCAAATGTGACAAGCACCAAACGGCAGATTCTGATCTCAGTAACACTAATGTAATCCTAAAATAATTTCACTGTGACAGTCTGAACTCAAACTAGTCTAAAGAATAAATAAAAACTTGTAATCCTCTAATTTCCAAGAACTTCATGGCTTCCAAGAAAAGACTCAGTGTAAGAAGTCAGTTAATCAAAAATAACTGCAACCAGTGTACAAAAATAAATCTGAGGAAAGAGACACTTCAACAATGAATCACATTGTTTTCTTCCCAGCAACTTCTTGAACAGCCAGTTTCAGAAATGAAACCTGTAATGTTGTCTACCTCCCACTGCTTTTCTGTTTAGAGAGACACAAACTTGAAGTGCAAAAAGAATAGAAGAAAATGCTTCCCACACAACTAAAAATGCTAAAACTAAAACCCTTTCCATCAGAATAAAACATTTTACTTGGCAGTTTTTTAATAGTTCTCAATGACACATGAAAAGTAAAGAGAACTAAATTCATAAAATAGTTTTTTTTTTTTTAAACATTCAACTTCCCCACATCTCACATTGAAAGGTTCCCTCCTCCAACAACCCTCCTCAGACTGTTTGAGCCAAGATACTTAGTAGTAACACAAATAACCCAGACAGACAAGTCTCCTAAAACAAAAGTTGGTAAGAGGAAGCAATCACACACTTTTTATCTTTCTATGCTAAATACAGTCCCCGTTCTTCCAACACCTACAGCCAAACTTCTGACATCCTTTCAAGACGTTCAGAGGCTGAAGCATCTTTTCCCTGCTCTGCTACACCCCCAATAACTGGCAGCCCCAGCCAGGCACTGGTAAGAGCAGGAGGGAAAAGAAATCAGGCAAGTTGGACACTTCCCCAACCCCCTGAAACTGCAGGCACCTAGACTCCCCTCATTCTTTTCCTATTGCTTCACTCATGCAAGAGGTTCACAGGGGCCTCCTACGTTAACCCACTTCACACAATAATCATCAAACCTCCCAAGTTCTCCCAAACACTCCAAGGGGGGGGAAAGAGGAGGAGGAGGAAACAGCAGACCACATGGAGACTTTGCCTGACCCCTTAATTCCGTGGGGATACGTTTAGAAAAAAAAATCTGGTCCCCTCCCCCCACAGGAACATAAAACCTGAGCAATTCCCACACGCTACTCATAAGCAGCCTCCTCCTCCATCAGCCCCCCCAGCCCCATTCTCTGCCCCACATTTTCACACACAAACCCCAACAAGGAAGGGGGGAGGCGGCAGCAGGCAAGCTGGAGACTTACCTCCCCCTGAGGCGCTACACCATCAAGGGGTGTTCTCTGGGGGCCCGGCCGGCTCTGGAGAAAGCGGGGGGCTGAGGAAGGAGGAGAGGAGACGGGGCGTGGAGGGGGCGCAGCGCGGGCACGGCGGGGGGGGGAGCCGGGAGGCAGCGGTGGAGGACTCAGGCAACCGGCTCCGTCAGCAGCAGGCGCCCAGGGGCATGGCCGCGGGAGGGCAGGGCAGACAATGTGCGGCGGCGGCGGGAGGGACCCAACCAGCGGGGTGGGGGCGGCTCCGCGAGCGTCTGGGGGGGAGCCGGGCTCTGCCTCCTCCTTCCTGCTCACACACCGAATCGGCACCCAGCCGCCCAGCCAGGCCGAACCTACCCGCCAGTATCCGGCCTCCTGATTGGAGCAGGACCAGGGCCCCATGACCCGGCAGGCGGCTGGGACCAATCAGGGGAATGGATGGAAGTGATTTAAAAGGAGGGGGGAGGGGGCGAGAGAAGAGGGAGAGCTGGAGGAGCCGAGCCTGGCAGGAGCGAGGTCGGGGGGAAACGGGGCCGGGTCCGTCCTCGCCGCGCTCAGGGGTTGGAGCCGGAGCCGAGCCTGGGGAGTTCGCCTCGGGCTGCTGAGCCGGCTCAGAGGGTTGTTCTCGCTGCCTCTGGAGGAAGGATTCACCCCCCCCCTATCGCATCCCAGCTGAAGGGAACTTCCCCCCTCACCTCTCCACAGCGTCCTTGTGCCTAGGACCCCTCCGTGTGCACGCAGCCCTGCAGGGACCCCTGCTGCACAGCCACAGGCACTAGCCCCGGAGCTTGCCTGGAGGGGTCTCCCCATCATGCGAGGGGTGTACAATTCCAGCTCCCTCCCTCAAACGTTGGCTCAACCCACTGGTTAACTGACTCAAGTTGAGATCCGGGCTGGGGCCCTCTGCAGCCCAGCTGGAGGAGCCTCTAGCTGCCCATGGGGCTCCTGCCCACAGTCCTACGCAGGGGTTGGGGCTATTACTTGCCCCTGTGGGAGTAGCCCCAGCCTGTGGGGTACCTGGTCCCACCACAGACAGGGTATGTTCTGGATGAGAGCAGCCCCTGGCCACAGTGGGCCCCCTGTGGGGATAGAACAGACAAGGAGCTGCTTGAGCCCCCACCACTTAAGCATCACCCATTTAGGGTGATAGATACTGGTTAACCTTTCACATCCCTCATACATATCCAGGTCTAATCCCAGAAGGGTCCACCAAAAAAAACACACCTCAGACCTAGAGGGACCTGCACCTCTGAGGCAGAGGGTCTCCCACAACTCTTCCTCTCTCTCAGAAATACACTCCTATACTTTGTCTACACTGTAGGATTTTTGCACAAGAAGCTTTTTGCGGAAGTGATCTTCCGCAAAAACTTCTTGTGCAAAAGCACATCCACACCTCAAAAGCGCATCGCAAAAGCAATGTGCTTTTGCGCAAAGGAGAGTCCACACTGCATGGACACTCTTGTGCAAGAAAGTTCTGATGACCATTCTGTGGCCCTCAGAGCATCTGTGCTTTTTCTGATGGGCTCTTTTTGTGCAAGAAACCTCTGGGGCTACATCTACACTGGCATGATTTTCCGAAAATGCTTTTAACGGAAAAGTTTTCCGTTAAAAGCATTTTCAGAAAAGCGCATCTAGATTGGCAGGGCGCTTTTCCGCAAAAGCACTTTTTGCGGAAAAGCGTCCGTGGTCAATCTAGATGCACTTTTTCCGTAAAAAAGCCCTTATTGCCATTTTCGCGATAGGGGCTTTTTTGGGGAAAACAGTACTGTGCTGTTTACACTGGCCCTCTTGCGCACATGATTTGCGCAAGAGGGCTTTTGCCCGAAAGGGAGCAGCACAGTATTTCAGCAAGAACACTGATGATCTTACATGATATCGTCAGTGTTCTTGCAGAAATTCAAGCATCCAGTGTAGACAGCTGGCAAGTTTTTCCGCAAAAGCAGATGATTTTGCAGAAAAACTTGCCAGTCTAGAAACAGCCCTGTTGAGCATCCACACATACCTTTTTGCACAAGAGTGCTTGCGCAAAAGGAGTTATTCCTTGTAGAACGAGGTATACCTACACCGCAAAAAGCCCTCTGTTCTGCTGTTTTCCTATAAGTTTTCTTGCACAAATATGCGCTTGAGATGTGGACGCTCCACAGGTTTTTGTGCAAAAACAACTGGTTTTGCACAAAACCCCTGTAGTGTAGACATAGCCCTAGCCTGACACACCCCTCCATGCTTATGCATACTGACCCCTGTGGACTCTTCTCTCTCTCTCTCTCTATATATATATATATATATACACACACACACACACACACACCTCTGGCCTAGAGGGACCCCTGCTCACATTCTCTTGATCTAGAGGACTCCCATGATCAATGTCTCCTCTAATCTTTTCCATCTATGTGTAGATTTTTTCCATTCATGTGCAGAATAATTTTTATGTACACCATCACTAGAAACAAAAGTCCTAGCTGTGGGCACTCTGCAAATGAGCTGGTCAGAATCTGAATTTTTGAGCAGCCACACAAGTGCGCAGCTTACAGTGAACACTGCCCCTAATGAACATACAGATGCATACCTGGGTCTGGCCTGGGGACACCTTGTAATGCACCGCCGCTGGGGACACGCCCATGCAGACGTACACAACCTGGACTGGTCTGGGTTCTTGATGACTTTGAATGCATCAAATGGCAGTAATCTCTCCCCTTCTCCTGATATGAGTGGACCTCCTATACTTCCCCCACAAAAAAAGGGGTGACTGTGCAGGAGAAATACAGAAAGCAGCATATTTAAAGGGGATATTGCACCTCAATGTCACAGAACTCTACAGTGGCTTTGCATTGTCTGACTATTTGCATGATTCCTCTTTGAAAACCTATCATTAGATACAGCTGGTTCAGTCATTATGCAGGAATAACAGTGGGTGCCAAGAACACATATTATACAGTTTCCCTTGTATCAGGAAGTAAGTGTGAGGTATAAAGATAACGCCCAATTGATCCAAACAAGCTCTTTACAATGATAAAACAAGCAAAGCTTTCTACAATCTGAAGGTGATAGAGCAGAATATGACCTGATCTTTTCTTGGACCTGTCTAACGTACCATTTAGTATTCCAACTACAGTTGACGGGCATTTCAGAAATGCTTAAGACAGACAATAGTATTTTTAAAAACAGTTGCATTAAAAATGCTTTAATATGCCAGGTGTAGTGAGGCATGACTTTGTTGAACCATATCTAAAATACATTTGAGGAAGCTGTGGTTATACTCTGTCCCTACTGTCTCACATATCAACATTTGTATGGATAATAGTATGTCTGTTTTTCAAGTTCCCTAACATAGGAAACTCATTTATGTGGGCTCTGAAAACCCACATTCAAAGGTGTCACTTCTCCTTCAGTTGTAGGGGATGATGAAAAGACATGGCCTTTTTTAGAATTTTCAAAGTATTTCATTCTTACATTGATTGATTTGACAGTGTGTATTTGAGATGTGTTTAATCTCAGGGACGGGGGAAGGGTAATTCATTCTCTACAAGCCATTAGGTTTGCTGTTTTTTCATTTTCTCTCTCCAGAATGCTTTCCAAGTTCTAATGGAGTTAAATGTGAGCCCACATGTAGCTGTCCAGTGTTGGCAAGTAAATCAGTCTGACAGCCCACCACTTATAAACAAGGAATGGAAAGGTGATATTAGACAGGTGCTTCTGATGACTAACCTTGTTTCTTTGTAGTTTTACCAAGAGCTGCTTTTTCTGTTTGTGAACACTGCATTCTGCAAAACTCACATTGCTGAAGCCAGGAAATAAAGAGTCACAGTAAAGCAGACTAACTTTGAAAAACTAGGAAGTAAGGAACTGAGGTACATACCTGCACAAACTTAACTCTGCCCCCTTGGAGCTGGCAATCACTACTGAGAAATAGCTGCATACCGCATTAGATGAGTTCATGGTGTTGGGTGGAAGGATTGGTGGAGAAGCTTAGCAGACCTGTGATTGAGATAGGATATCTGCCAGGTCTAGCTTTCCCCAGTATGTGATCAAAGGAAAGGTGGATGTATGCCTTGACAGATCCAGTAAGTCTCCTTTCAGCCCTGAGTTCTATAGTTGGAGGCAATAGCAGTGCTGCACAGTGTGCTTTAGACCCCCTTTTAGTCCTTGTAGAGAGCTTCCTCTTAGAGTAAAACCTCATGCTTTTACCAGTCTGTATTGGAGACTCACCCCACCCCCTTACCAACCATGTTAACCCAACACACCTAAGTTACTGATAAGCATCTTAAGCCCTTCTCCTCCACAAGCCTGTGAAAGCAGTTGATTAAAGTGATTCAGAAACAGCTTCTTCAAAACAAAATGTTATTTAGTCACCCAAAGGCACACAGCACATAAAATAAAAGGGAAAAATAAAGACCTACATACATATTTCCCTTCACCTAAAGGTTAATTTTTCCTTGTAAGATTTAGTAAATTCCATTCAGCCCTGTAACTTCTATCCCTGGATTGAAGGAGAGCACCTGACTGTTGCAGTTTGTGTCTCTCTCTGTCAGAGGTTCATCTGTAGCTACTGCTGGCAACTCACTCAATCTCCTTCTTCCCTAAGCCAGCATCATAAGAGCTTTGGTATTCCCTTTGATCCTCAGCTGTGGGAAGGGTAGGGAAAAGGACTAGCTGGGGGAGTGCTTGTGCCATCCAGGACTGCCTCAGCTCCAAGCCTACCACCAGGCACCCTTTAGGGAGGAGGAGGCAGACAACCTGGACCTGGACCTGCCCCATGTGGGAGACATGCACCTCTTCCTTGTCTGTGTCCACTAGAGCTGCAGTGGCCATGGAGAGCTGCTTTTCGTCGAGTCCCAAGTAACTATGATGAGAGAGGGCTGTCGTAGTTCTCTCTTCCCCAGGGAAGCCTGCATACTGAACCCCTCATCCCCAGCCCCACTCCAGAGCAATGATTAAAATTAAGAAAAACAAAAATTAATTGAGTTAAGGACCCGAGCAACAGGGATCTTATTTTGTGAAGTAGTGAGCCACCTGCTGGCAAAATCTTGCAACATACCTACTATTTATTTGAGAGAGTAAAACAAAAATTAAGGACCCAAGCAACACCGGGTAAATCTTCTAGAGATTAATATTTGAATTCAGCACAGCTCCACAGCAGTCTGGCCATAAGCTTTCCCAAACTGATGGAGGTATGGATCAGGTCAATCATAACATTTTGTTTCAACAATTTCAAGATATTTCACTGTAATTTTGATTTTAATCTTTTGAAGAGTACATAAGCACATTTTTTAAATAAAAATAATTTTGAACTAAAATATTAAACTTCCAATTTTTTTCAAATTGGGAGATTTGTAAAAACAGACCCTTTTC